CCTTAAAAAGGGTTCAGCAAGCCCTCATACCAGAGGTTCTAGTCCTCCCTGAACACCCCATACCTATTTTGAATATTTTGGTGAAGGGGAGTAGGCAAATCAGGAACTTGTCAATGCTCCAATTTGAACTGGACACTTGCCTCTTTTTACTTCTTGAGGAAAAAAAAAACTTGAAAGTCATACATATTTCATTAAATTATGCAGCAAATTTCTTTTTTTATTGCCACAGAACTGTTTTAATGGAGATCTCTGGTCATTAAATTAAGTCAGACATTTCAGGACAATAGAATGATAATCACCAGCAAAAGGATAGCAGCAAGCAGAGCCTTGATGGCCTTCAGTTCACATCCACACCACCACATCTATCTTGGAAGCTGTTTGCATTCTCTGATTAGCTTTCTGACTTGTCTTGCAGCTCATCGAATCTCTCTCCTCTGTCAATCACTTTTGTAATATTCTCTTGAATGCCATCAATTACTTCATCCATGCCTAACAAGGTCCAAATTTTGGTCCAGATGGGCCCATTAGGAAAAAATCCTCATCTTCCAAAAGATTTTTCATTTCACTTTTCATAGAACCAGTGACATTATCATCATTTAGGTGCTTGAATTTAGGAGGCATCTTTATTACTCAAAAAGTTGTTTTCCTTTTGCTAACTTTAACAGGCAGATATATACTACCTGGGCATCTGCTGGGGGGCTTCTGGTCACCCCTAGGAGCCAGGCCAGGCCAGGCTGAACTGGGCTGAACTAGGCAGGGAAAAGGGAAGGGGAGAAAGGAGGATGGGGAGGAGAGACAGGGGAAATGGCCTAGGGCTCTGAAGCCTGCCTGGACCGCTCATTGCCTTTTAAGGGATAAACTAGTCTATTCTATATGGCAGAGACTTAGTAAATGTTGACCAGGCAGTGGATAGGTCACTGGGCCTGGAGTCAGGAAGACCTTAGTTTAAATACAGTTTTAGAGTTTAAACACTTACTAGCTGTGGGAACCTGGGCAAATCTATTAACATCTATTTGCTTCAGTTTCCTCAACTGTAAAATGTGAATTCTAACACTACCACCACCACCTACCTTCTGAGAAATTCAAATTAATTCTACTTTGTAATTGACTCCATATTGTATTGATTTCACATCGTAATTGATTCTGCTTAGGTCTCCTTTCTATGTCCTTTAGTTAAGTTCAGGAATTCAGTTTTCCTCTCTAAGCTGGTTGTTGTGGTCAACATGACCACAAGTCATTGTAATTAAAAGGAAAGAATTGTCATCTTCTATATGATTAGCTCTTGGGTAAATACCAAGATGTCTGGTGTCATCTTTAAGTCTTGAAAATAGCTTTAAGAGACATATTGTCCCAGAAGTGACAAAGGGATCAGAAGTTATATATTGTATCCCCTAGACGAACAATATTTAAGGGAGCAGAGGGATATACTTTTACCTTGATGCCCCTTGCTCTGAGAGCAGAGTGATCTCAGGCCTCAACCTCCTGCTTCCTCTACAGGCAAGAATAAAAGTTGCTTTTGGAAAAGGGCAGGGGGAAGAAGAGGCTGGAGATGTCTCTCCTCTCTCCCTTTGAGCCCCACTAGGCCAGCAGCTTCTTTGCCTCACCATCATGTAGGGCCTTCTCTGCACTCTTCTTCATTCTGCTATATATTACTAGTAAAGGAGCCCATTTTGAACAAGCTCACATAGGTCCTTTGGGTTTCTGGTGAGGTGCTTGGTCTTGACTAGCCTCTTTCATGTAACCCATATTCTTATTTGCCCTAGTTTATAGTGAAGGTGTCTGCCAGCCAGAATAATTTATAAAAGATTTATTTCAATTTATGTATCTCCAAGTCCAGTTATTTTTCAAAAGCTTTTAAACATTGAGGAAGAGTCTATTTACAAAGACAACTCCAACAGACTAAGGAACATTTGTCAAGGGACTTTTTATGAATGAATGCTTTAAAAAATCTTTGGAAGTCTGTCCAGAAAGGTACTAGAAATTTCATCCTTTATATTTTTGCAGGTATTTATTCAGGTTCAATCCATTCTCTTGAACAGGGCAAGTAAGACTGCATTAATGAATTTATCCCTGGATGCCTGAAAACTGTCTTGCTCCTAAAGTCAGAATGCCTTTGGCCCACTCTGCCTTACAGGTGAACTAGTTTTTGTTCGGGGATTTTTTCTTTTTTTCATTTTTATCACTAGAGAGAATGACACAGAGCAGTTGGTTACAGTTTTGCCAATTTGGAGTGTAACATGCAAAAGTTGTTCTTAATTCTTCCCAGAATTAAGCTCTCTGGGAACCCTGAAGACAATGTTTTGAGGTGATTGGCTGACATGAGGCACGCACTATGATATGCCAACTCTTCTTCCTTCCTGTTGGCATCTGATATAATGGTTGGGGCACTCTAAGTTTCTCCCCAAGGATTTTCGCATCTCATACTTAGGAGTACACTCTGCTGGTAGGGCAGAACAATTACTTACAGAAGTAGGAAATCACCAAAATAGGAACAAATTGAGCAGGCATTAAAAGTGTTGGGGAGACAGAGCCAAGATGGTGAAGAGAGAAGAAGCATTTTTTTTTCTGGGTTGCCCAGCACTCCTCCTTTACAACAACCTAAAATATATACAAGTCCAAATTCTGGTTGGGAAAGCCCAAAAAGTCACAGAGAGTCATTTTCCAGTCCAGCACAGCTTAGGGAGACAGGAAGGTCTGTGGACACTCTACATGGAGTCTGACCAGGAGCTTGTCCTATGATAATAGCAAGGAGCATTCCAGTACCCAGAGACAGAAACAGGGCTGATACAGAGCACCAGAGCAGGAGGCATCTTAACAAAAAGATCCCAGGAGATCCCTGAACAAGCAGTGAGTGCAGCAGTGGGGGCTATCTGGCACCTCTACAGCCCACTACCCAGTTCCAGGTCACAGATCCAGGACAGAGAGGAATGGTCACAAAAGTGGGCCCTCAATATGTACTGAGCAAGGAACATGTTTCAGAAATGTCCCCATGCAGTTCTGACCCCAGAGTTGAGAGGTGACTCAATTCTACCCTTTGCCCCAGTACCATAAGCCTGCAAAGGGATAATCAGGGCAGAAGGCCCAAACCAAAGGGAGCCAGAAGTTCAGTCATTCTGAACCCATAGAGCCTGTCAATGGGCTAACAGGGACTGAGTCCAGCAGCTCTCTGCTGAAACTCCCAACCAGGGACAAGTCAACAGACACAAATTTGGGTTAGGAACTGGCAGAGCTGACACCAGGAGGGCAAGGTACAGATCTAGTCCAAGAGCTCATTAGAGCTATGAAAACAGCAAGAGGCTGGAAGAGGACAGAAGCCCAGGCCAGACATTCCCCTTCCCCACTCAGATGTAAGCAGAGGCCAATACTAACAAAGTTTAAAGTCAAGAAGCAGGCTGGAAGAATGAACAAACAAACAAAAAACCAGAACTCAATCATAAAGAGCTAATATAGTGACACGGAAGCTCAAGACACAAGCACAGAAGACAATGACTTGATAACATCTTCAAGGTGGACATACCCAGTCAGGGCTTTCTTTCTCTCAAATGCAGCTTTCTTAGTGTAGGTCATACAATTGGATTTAAGGGCTCATCTCAAATTTTCTTCAGAGTTTTTAAATTTTGGACTTCCTTTTCATGAGAGTCTTTTTGGCTGTGGGCTCCAGAGTGAAAAAAAAAGTGTTTTGCAGCCTCCTTATACCAAAACAAACAAACAAAACTCCAAAACCCACCCGCTGAGCTTGATGGCTTTGATTTTCTGTTTTCTTTAGGACACCTCTGAGGTAAACAGTTTTTTTGAGGTTGATAGTGTCCCCAAGGTGAATTTGCCATTCAATATTATATCCTGAGTATAAAAAATTCTAAATACCTTCAGATCTGTGTTTGGTATTCATGAAATGAGTCAGCATACTTTTAGGAAACAGATGGTTTTGAACAGGTGATCTTCCATTTTCTCTTTTACCTAGTACCTAAACCTTTGGTTCATAATCCTTGGAATCCTTTTTATTCCTAATTAATGCCAATTTAAAACAGGCTGAAATACAGAACTGTCTCTTCTAAATTTAGATTGAGATCCTGTCTGAATTACCAAGGTATAGCTTCTTATTGTAAGGTAGGATATGGAAATTATATGGGCAACTTTATTCCTCTCACTGAGAGGCACCAGGCTAAAGGCTAAGATCCACAGTACAAAATGCAGAATCCAAAATTCACTGTCTTAATTGCAGCAAGAAAATTAGATTATATAGGATACCTTCTGGCTGAATTACGTAGGGAAAAAATCTCTCAGAATAACTGGATCACAAATTTGGTCAAGCAAAAACACTGAGGATGTTTTGTTTTAAAAATCTCTCTTAAGGAAAACCAGGCAAGATTACAAGGAAATATTATAGCCTAGCTACCCATCACAAATACTGCACAAAGACATAGAAAATGATGCATCAGACCAAGTCCTGAATGGGAAATTCAAGGAAAAAAAAACCACATAACTCACTTTTCTAGCCCAGACAGACATACAAAGACAGTGAGGTCTATGGACACTGAGGATGGGGTCTGGCCAGAAGGGTGCTGGGGAGTTTTCCATCAGGATTGAATGGGGAGTAAAATATCAGAAATGCCAAAACCTCTCCTACAAAACAACCATAGAAAATACTGAACAAAATTCTGAGTGGTAAAGCCAAGACAAAGTCACAGAAGCAATTTTTCAAGCCCAGGACAGCTTACGAAGACAGAAAGAAAGGTCTGCAGACACTCAGGGGCTAGTGGCACCAGCAGGGGTGATGGCAACACTTAGCAGCGGCAGTAGCAGTAAGGAGCAGCCCAAAACCCAGGGATGGTAAGGGGACTGAACACCTGGTCAGAAAAGATCCAAAAGGATCCTTAATTCTAGCAGTAGGTGCAAAGATCAAGTGCCATTTGGCAATTTGGTCACCTCTTACTCAGTTCTGAGTCACAGTCCCAGGGCACAGAGGCATGGTCACAGTCATGTGGGAGCAAGAGACCTACCTGGGTAAGGCACAGAGTGCAGACCAGGAGGGCACTGATCAGACCTCTTCCAAGATCATATCACTTTGCATAAAAATCTAAAGACTCCCAGATTGATCTGTGAAAAGAGGAAGTAATAGAAGCTCAGATTAGTCATCACCCTAGAAGTGAGCACAGCCCAACTCAGAGGGAGACAGATAGAGAGAGAGGCAGAGATAGAGAGACACACAGAGAGAGACAGAGAGTCCAAAATCCAGAAACAAGCTAGAAAAATGGACAAACAACAAAAGGAGACCCTGACCATAAAAAACGACTATGGTGACAGGGAAGCTCAAGGAACAAATTCAGAAGAACACAATAACTTGAAAACATCTACAATATAAGCCTCAGAGAAAAATCCAGATTGAACATAAGCCCAACAAGAATTCCAAGAAGAGCTAAAGAAAGCAATAAAAAAGAATAAAAAATATTGATTTTAAAAATGAAATGAGTAGTAGAAGAAAAATTGGGAAAAGAAATGAGAATAATGCAAGAAAACTATGAAAAGAGAATTTAAAAATTGGTAAAAAGAGGCACAAAAATACTGAAGAAAATAATGCCTTAAAAATAAGAATTGGACAAATGGTAAAAGAGGTATAAAACCTCACTGAAGGAAATACATCCTTAAAAGTTGGAACTGGTCAAGCAGAAGCTAATGACTCCATGATACATCAAAAAAACAATAAAACAAAGTCAAAAGATTTTTAAATCGAAGAAAAATTAAAATATTACTTATGAGAAGAGATAATTTAAGAACTATTGGAATAACTAAAAGCTATGATAAAAAGAGCCTATGCATCATATTTTAAGAAATTATAAGGGGCAGCTAGGTGGCGCAGTGGATAGAGCACTGGCCCTGGATTTGGGAGGATCTGAGTTCAAATCTAGCCTCAGACACATAACACTTGCTAGCTGTGTGACCCTGGGTAAGTCAATTAACCCCACTGCCTAGCCGCCCCCCCCCAAAAAAAGAGAAATTATAAAGGAAAATTACCTTAGAACAAGAGGGCAAAGTAGAAATTGAAAGAATCCAATGGTCACCTCCTAAAAGATATCCCCCAATGAAAACTCCCAGGAATATTATACATAGAGATGATGCCAGAGATCCCAGATGAAGGGGAAAATACTGCAAGCAGTAAGAAGGAATGAATTCAAGAATTGAGAAGCCACAGTCAGGATTACACAAGATTTAGCAGCTACCACAATAAAGGAGCAGAAGGCTTGGAATATGATATCACAAAGGCAAAGGACCTAGGATTGAAACCAAGAATAACCTTTCCAGCAAAACTGAGCTTAATCCTCTGGGGCAGGGAAGGAGGAGGAGGAAATAGACACTTAATAAAATAGAGGACTTTCAAGCATTCCTGATAAAAAGGCCAGAGCTTAATCGAAAATTTGACATTCAAACATAAGAGTCAACAAAAGCATAAAAAAGTAAATATGAGTAAGAAACCATCAACCAATCAGTAAACATTTATTAAGCACCTACAATGTGCCAGGCACTGTGTTAAGTGCTAGAGATACAAAAAGAAGCCAAAAACAGTCCCTGCCCTCAAGGAGCTTACATTTAATGGGGAAACAACATGCAAACAAATATATACAAAGCCGACTATACATAGGATAAATAAGAAATAATTAACAAAAGGAAGGCACTGGAATTAAGAAGGGTTGAGGAAGACTTCCTGTAGGAGGCTGGATTTTAGAGCGGAGAAAGGAGAATGTTCCAGGAATGGGGTACAGTGAGAGAAAATGTCCAAAGCTAACAGATGACACTGTTTTATTCATGGAATAGCCAGGAGGCCAATGTCACTGGATCAAAGAGTAAGCTTCTAGGAATTGGTGTAAGAGGAATGAAACTGTAGGAGGGTACTAAATTATGAAGGGCTTTGAATGCCAAACAGATCATTTTGTATGTGATCCTGGAGGCAAAAGTGGCTTCCACTTGAGTTTATTGGATAGGAGAGGGATATGGTTGGACCTGGGCTTTAGGAAAATCACTTTAGTGGCTGGAGGATGGGAGGAAGGGGGAGACACTTAAGGAAGGCAGAACCCCCCCCCCCGAAGGCTATTGCAATAGTCTAGAGATGAGGTGATATGGCCCTGTACCAGCTGGTAGTAGTGTCAGAGGAGAGAAGACAGTGTATTTGAAAAATGCTACAGAGGTGAAATGGAGAGGCCTTGGCAACAAATCTGTTGGATATGGAGGATGAGAGAGAGTGAGGAGTTCAGGATGACTCCTAGCTTTGAAGCCTGAGTGACTGGTGATACACTCTCCAGTAACAGGGAAAGCAGGAGGTGGGGAGGGTCCAAGGGGAAACACAATGAGTTCTGTCTTAGACATATTGAGTTTAAGATGTCTATTGGACTTCCAGTTCGAGATATCTGAAAGGCAATTGAAGATGAAAGTTGCAAAAGTGCGTCAGCACAGAAGTTAGGACAAGATAGGTAGATCTGACAATCATCAGCATAAAAATGGTAATTAAATCAATGGGAGCTGAAGAGATCACTAAAATATAGAGAAGACCTATGGCAGAATCCTGAGGGACACCCATGGTTAGAGGGTGTGATTTAGAGGAAGAATCTGGCAATGGAGACTGAAAAGTAGTGGTCAGAGAGGTAGAAAAAAAACCAGGGGGAGAGAGAGAGAGAGAGAGAGAGAGAGAGAGAGAGAGAGAGAGAGAGAGAGAGAGAGAGAGAGAGAGAGAGAGAGAGAGAGAGAGAGAGAGATGTCCTAAAAACCAAAAGACTAGAGAGCATCAAAGAAAAGAGGGTGATCAGCAATGTCAAAGGTTGCAAAGAGGTCAAGGAGAATGAGGAGTCAGTATTCTCTACTATTGGTCATTATATTTGGCAGCTAAGATAACTTTGGAAATAAACTAATAAGGTAACTTTGGAAAGAGCAGTTTCAGTGGAATGAAAAGCTAGAAGCTAGATTGTAAGGGATTAAGAAGAGAGTGAGAGAGAGAAAGTGGAGACACCTATTGTAGACGGTCTTTTCAAGGAGTTTAGCCACAAATGGCAGAAGTGATATGCAACAATATGTGTTGAGGATGGAGGGATCAAATGAGGGTTTTTGAGGATGGGGGAGACACAGGCATGTTTGCAGGCAGTAGGGAAGGAATCGGTATTCAGGGAGAGATTGATGATAAGTGAGAAAGTGAGGATAACAGGAGGTCCAATCTGTTGGAGGAGATGGATGGAACGGGATGGCTTGTGCATATAGAGAGGTTGGCCTTGGTGAGGAGTAAGGCCACTTCAGCATTTGGGACAGGGGTGAAGGAGGAGAGAGAGGCAGAATGCACCTGGGTGATGGGAGATGAGGAAGAGGAGAAAGGACAGAGCTCACAGTGAATGGCCTCAATTATTTATGTAAAATATGAGGCAAGACAGAGGATTCTGGGAAAATGGCAGAATAGGTCAGGAAATTCCAGGCTCTCCAAACTTCTTTCAAAAAGAATATTGCCTCAAAAGTGAATTAGACTGGCAAACATCAAGAAAAGTCAGGGTAAAGCAGTGTCCTCCTAAAACAACTTAAGAGGACCTCAGGAAAGACCCTACTTCCAGATACAGAAGTTTTGTCAGAGCTGAATCATTAAACAATAAGCCCTGGGGGCCGCTGGGTCCAGAGGTAGCTTGGACCTCAGGAACTTTCACCTCATGGACAACTGTAAAAGTAGGACAGCTGAGGAGGGGAAGATTGAAGGATACTCCACTGTCTTGGGTCATTAGGCCCTGCTTTGCTGACCAGACACAGTTCTAGGCTGCTGCTGTGAGTAAGGAGTGAGCAAATGCCTGGTAAATGTGGTAGTAGAAGGGCAAGGACCTTGCTGGCTGTGGGCACTTGCAAGAGAGTGGGGTCTCTGGTTTTGGTTCCAGGGCAGAGGGGAGAGCTGAAGTTTGCAGCCATGGAAGGGACTGCAGGAAGCAAGAGCATTTGTAGGACAGCATGGTTGGGGCCCCTAGCCCCAAGTGGAGTGGAGAGGAATAGTGCTCAAGTCTGGGCCCCCACAAAGAATTCGAAAAATAATATGAAGAAGGATCTGAGGCCTGGGGCACCATTACCCACACCTTGGGGATTAGAACATGATTACAATAATAAGCTGCTAAAAATAAAATAAAAATTTAAATGAGCAAGCAAAGGAGAAAGATCCTGATCACAGACAACTACTATGGGGAAAGAGAATATCTGGGTTCACATTCAGGGGAAGATAGTAAATTTTTAAAAAGCCACTCCTACTTCAAAAAGAAATATTAAATGATCACAAGCCCAAAAAGAATTCTTGGAAGAAGTTAAAAAGGACTTCAAAAATCAAATAAGAGAGATCAAGGAAAAATTAGGGAAAAAAGTAAGAGCAATCCAAGAAAATCAAGAAAATTATGAAAAGAGAGTCAACCAATTAGGAAAAGAGATCCAAGAACTTAAGGAAGAAAATAATTCCTTGAAAACTAGAACTGGGCAAGGGGAAGTGATTGATGTTATAAGTCACCAAAAAATAATAAAACAAAATCAAAAGAATAAAAAAAAGAAGAGACCGTGAAATATCTCATTAGAAAAACAACTGATCTGGAGAACCTATCGAGGAGAGACAACATAAGAATTGTTGTACTACCTGAAGGTTATGATAAAAAGAAAAAAAGAATCTTGAAGTAGCTAGGTGGATCAGTGGATACAGCACTGGCTCTGCAGTCAGGAGGGCCTGAGTTCAAATCTATCACTGCTACCTATGTGACCCTGGGCAAGGCGCTTAACCCCGATAGCCTAAAAAAAATTATAAGAAATTATTAAGGAAAATTACCCTGAACTTCTGGAATAAGAGGGTAGAGTAGAAACAGAAAAAAAAAATCTACCAATCACCACCTGAAAAAAATCCCAGGACAAAAACTTGCAGGAATATCATAGCCAAGTTTCAAAGCTCCCAGTTTAAGGAGAAAATATTATAAGCAGCAAGGGAAAAAAACAAAACAAAACAAAACAACTTAAATGCTGCAGAGCTACAATCGAGATTACATGAGACCTAGCAGCTTCTACACTAAAAGAATGTAGGTCTTGAAACATCATATTTTTAAGAGCAAAATAAC